ATGGCCTGACCCAGTGATGATTACAGTGGTAAAAGACTGGCTGTGGTTAGGAGGAGTGATTTCTACGTCGTTCTACACGAAGATTTGAGATTGGCAGTAGGCTTGAAGTGGGTATGTTCATCGAATAGTTCCGTGAGGGGAAGAAAACGACACGTTTTTCAGTTGAACAGTAAACGATGTGGCATAAGGAGCCCTAGAATTCGTGTTCTCGATAGCGAGATATCGATGGCGCATCTCAAATCAACTGAAACATCGACCGACGTCGGGGCGGAATTTCCAAGCCATACTTCATATTGGCGAAGAACCGTCGTCCCAATCAAGATAAATCAAACGATACATCGCTTTGATGTCTCCGTTGACGTGCTGATGTCAGCTGATTCTTAGGCGCACCCCCCGCGGATCATTGCTCCGCTCAGCGATGTGTGCCAATGAGCGCTGACCCTGACATCAAATAATTCTACGCCAAATGGCTACCTGAGCATCACGCTTGAACTAGGTCTGATTGATACTAGTCAATTGACGGAAAGTTTAACAGATTTGAAGACACGCTCATTGATAACTATCCGTTGATCAGAGTCGCGAAAGTCGGGGCCGGGCCTCTCAACGGACTGTGAACTCGATGATGTTTCGTGCTAGGAAGAAAATTGGATTTCAATACTTTGTCGTTTTGTGGCACCTACTCGCTGCCTACAGAAGATGTTGGTAGTGGCTCGGAGATGGGTGCTAAATTCATGCTCTACGGAGATTGAGCTTTTGTAAAGGTTTTAAAGACGGGATAAAAGCTGCTTGTAAAGCGTTATCATACAGTCTATAAGATCTGATATAGACACAAACTGTTTCAATGCCGATTTGTAGAGGCTTAAGGGGAAGAAGTTGGTGTCGTGGTTTGGTATCTGCTATAGTCTCAAGGAAGACTTGGAGGCAGATGCTACGGGTATGGGCTAGTGGACCAACTTCTTGGGCTGTGAGAAAGCGAAAATCCGATGAACGGCGCGTTGATAGATATGACAACGAGTGTGACATGCTTTAGGGCCTTGGGAGTCCGTCATGGCCTTCGCATGGGGTTCGTATAGCGAGTGGATACTGGTGGAGCGGCGTTTTGTTCCGCGAGGAGATGTATCTTCCGAAGTTGTTGATTCGTCATCATTGCTGGTACTCCACGGAGGCAGATAGCAGGATTCCATTCTTCTTTTCTTGTTCAGGTGTCAAAGTGTGTATATGATCGGGCTGCGATGAGCCCAAACCAGACCGAGCCCGTCTTCCGAAGCACCCTCAAACATCTACATATCCGTTCCTTACATGGTCATTCTCAGGTTCACGGCCATTATTCCCGGAACCCCAGACCCTGAACTTGGTGTTCTTCCGATGCTTGTACCCTGATTTCAGATCTCATCTGCTAGAATGCTTTAACGCCATATGTTGGGTCTCAATGTTCAAAGGGCGTGATTGGTGGGAGTTCTTGATAACTTCACATACAGCTATGCATTCTTCACGTCGAAAAATGTTAGTACTCTCCACACGATACCGGAGAGCTGGTAAGCATGGAGTGCTTTTCACTGGATTGGATCTCCGCCGTCCTCGCTTTTCCGAGCAGCGTTAGCATCTCCGCTTCATTATGATACTAACGCATCACGAGGTGTGCGACAAAGTGCCAAGCTAGGAGAAACCGAAGTAATACCGCGTGGTATGGTCTTTCCGCGTTTACGATGTTCGCATAGAGAGTATTCTTTCGGTAGACTGTCGATTGGGCTTGCCCTGGATATCCACTGATCTGCCGATCCACTTATTAACGCCGATGGTTCCTCGCCTCCCCCAACATGACCGAGATTCCCCACCCCACATCCCATCACGATACCGACGCAACACGAGGGGGATCTCACGCCATCTCTTAGAGAACACAACAAGGTAATCCATGTCCAGCTTGCCGTCTTACCATAGTAACCGTAAACGGCCCACCTCCCGCGGCAGCGCTCCGAACGGGACGTAGTGCGCCGAAAATAAAGCTATTGCGGAGTACCTATGGTCGGAAGAGTTCCAATAATCTTGAGAGCCTCTGCAGCTCTTATGCCAGGTGCTGATCTCTAGCCGACGAGGACGAGACCTCGGGTTCGACTTCGAAGCCGACGGCGTTGGACGGCATCCGCGAACGAGAACACCCTGAATCGAGTTCGAAGCCGATGAGATACGCGGCATTCGAGCTTGAATCTGTCTAGGACTGATCCGATGTTTGGCGAGCTCTTCTTTGTTTCCTGTCCCGTTCGATATAGTGCCGCTGCGCTTCGAACGCTTCGTTTGCTAGGCCCACAGTCAGCGCTTGATGACGACGCTTTTCGTAACGTCCACGATACCAGACAGCGTACTACTACCACTGTAAGATACCAAATCTCACGTATTCTCGTGTACCTGCGGTCTTGAACGGTTCAGCCGATCGGGAAGGCCAGAACAGATGAGCTGGCGTGGCAAACACGCGTCGCTCTTGCCTCCCTGCCTGAGCACAAACTTTCCCTCCGCCGCAATAACCTATCATGAGAAGTGTCCCAGGGAGGCTGAGATGCGGATCAGGGTACCAGCCACTCTTGGCTGGGCCATGGCGAATTTCAGAGCGTCAGAAGCTGCACAACCGTGCAGATCATAATCAGGTTCGGTATCGTCGCCGAAGGAAGAGCTCGTGCGAAGCCCATAAGGCAGGTCAAATACCGCTGTCAGATAACTTCCCGTGATGATTTCCATGATGCCGGGTCTCCGAACATTGCGATAGGTTGGGGCAAGTCACCGAACGCGATTCCCATGGAGGACCCATGTGGTTGGAAGATGGGTCGCTACAATGCGGCTTGTTGCCACATTGCGGTCCATCGTATGCAAGTGTTTCTTCTTCATCGGGCCGTCAGGAAATAGACACATGCAACACCATCCAATGCGAACTTAGCGGCGGTTGCCGCTACGCGACACTCAGCAGTCGCAATATTGTTGGGAGTGTGCACTACAATGATGCTGTCAAGTTAACCCCTGCTACCTCCTAGGCAAAGCTGCGTTTCTCTGCTCGATCGTGTCACCTGCAGCACCCAGATGCGCGGAGTGAGATGCGGAGTGTAGATTTCGAGTACTAGAACAATTCTTGTGTGATCCCGTTTAGCGATGATCCTCTCAGGCATTAGATGCATTCTGTTTCATGGTCGGTGACGTTAAGTGCTTACTTGATTGGGTAGGGTGGGGAATGGGGGCGGATGAGGAATGCAGTTTCCCCGCCTCACGTCCCCGACCACCGATGTTCATGCGCAACGTTGTAGGGCTGCATTCACTGCAACTTTCCGGTCAATATCCCCATTCCACGGCATAATGGCATAGCTCCAGAGAGTGAATCGCAAGATGTTGGCTTCATTTCTTCGTGCCATAGTAGATCAAATCTATCTGGATCGCAAGCGTAGGATAAGTTCTCAGTATGTAGGTAACCAAGCCCCACGTTTTAGTGCACTGCGCTTTCAACTTAGCGCACTCATCCCATTAACGGGCTCCTTGACTCGCCTCACCCTCAATTGGTCCCCAGCTTTCCTATGCTAGATCCGAAGCGACTGCGCGTATCGACCGAAGTCAGACCTAAGACTTCTCTAGGATGAACCCTCCTATGGTCCAGGAAGTGGGCCATTCCCAATGGCTCGATCGGAACCTGATCATGTAGAGAAGCATACCTCATCGTTGCCGCATTGCTCTTGCTACATCAAGTCTGTCGGCATCGATTGAATATATAACCATCATTGAAATCTGATGAAAGCAAGCACATCCTTCCAGTCGTCAGAGTCTTGTGCAACTTGTAAACCTCACAATGCTCCACACAATGTCTATCCTAGACCTTCCGGGGGAGCTTCAGCAGAGAGTGGTCGAACATGTACGTCAGTGGCGGGTAATCTTTCCGGCCGCTCATACTGACCGCGACAGATCACAACACAGACAGATCTCAAATCGCTGTGTATGACTTGTTCAGCTCTTCGCGTCCTCGCCAATCCGATACTGTATAGACGCATTGACTTGCGTTTATGGAGTCAACGAGCGGTTGAGTGTCTGCAGCGTTGCAATTTAGCAGGCGCAGGTTTGAACCTTCAGTACACGAAGGAGCTAATCGTAGAAGATGAACCCGTTGGCGAAGAACTCAGATCGATCCATACCGGCCGTATCCACCTACCCGCTCCAGATCGTGGACCTTGGAACCGCTATCTCACCGAGTCTCAGCAAGATGATAGTGCCTATTCCCAGACTTGTCAACAATCAAGCCAAGCAAGCTGGGTACCCCAGCTTGGCTTGATTGTTGGGTGCCTCTACTTCAGCTTAGCTTGATTGGCTTGGTGGGTTAAAACAAGCCAGCTTGATTGTTTGGCTTGATTGGCTTGATGGTCAAAGCGTTTTTGAGGCTATACAAATAGGTGGTATTGGCTATATCGTGACTTTTTTTAGAGTTGAGTTTCCGAATCGCTGTTAGTATTGCTGCTGTCTCCAACGTCCCACGCGCTTACGCCGTACAACGCCTCTATCTCATCGTCAGTTATAGAGTTTCTGTTGTTGAGTTTATCGTCGCCTAGACCAGCTGTACGCCACCGTCGTACGCACTGTATTGCCGCCAGAAGTCGTGGTTGTATACCTCGTCGGCGAGGCTCTAGGAGATCACCCAACTCGCTGAACATACGCTCACACTCGCAGCTCGACGCTGGGATAGACAGTACGTCAAGCGCAAGCTTGCTGAGTTGAGGATAGCGATCCCGCATCAATAACCAGTATTTTATTGGGTTGTTGGCGTACTCGCTGCCCTTCTCCACCCGCCGCTCGCACAGCTTCCACTGGGTATACTCGTCGTCAGCTGCCTCGTCGCTGTTGCTGGCAGTTGTAGGATCAATAATGCTGTCGATTGCGTCGTCTATATCGTTCGATAGTACCTTTAGGCGTCGTACAGCTAGTTGACTAGTATTGTATTGAGCCTACAAGCCGCGGAAACTGAGGTTGTTGGACTCAAGCTAGCTGGGTTTCTCAGTACCCCAGGATTTGTCGCAATACGATCGGTAATACGGGTGGAGTATCGTAGCTGCGTAGTAGGCGGGCGATAGGTCTAATTTAGAGTAATACTCGCTGGCTTTCGCCCACGCTGCGCGCATGTTAATCGCAAGGTGGTCCTCAGGCGCCTCGTCGTGGGCGTTATACTCAACGGCCTCGTAAGCTAGTACGCGCGATTCGTAGTAGTTGAGTATATACTCGAATACTGGGATGACTTCAGCGATACAGCCAAACCTCCCGCTGTTGCCGCGCCCCTCAAGGCGCTTTGTAGCAGCTTTCAGCGGCTTTAAAGCGTCTATATACTCCGTAACTACCGCCCAATCGTGCGTTGTAAGGCCGTCCGATCTCATCCAGTGTGGCGCGTGAGGCAGTTTGTTGCGCCGCGACTCAGCGTAGGTATCCTCGTCCCGTATACGCTTTATATGGTGGCTGGCGTACGCGTTAATCGCCGGTTGAAGCTGTACAGCGCGCTCAAAGCACGAGTAGAAGGAGTTCCAGCGTGTAATAACAGGCTTGACGGGCTCAAGGATCTTGCGTTTATCGGGAGGTGCGTCAGCTGGTAGCTCGCGATGGGCAAGGCGCTGAAAGTCAGCAAAAAGAGCGTATTGCTGTGGTGTTTTAATGTAGTTGACGATACCTAGGAGTACGCCTAAGGGCCCATCGCGCCTCCACTCG